ATAGAGGCGAGGTATGGGAATGTCTCATACGTTCCGTAAGATGGATACTAAGGTCGACCGTAAATGAGCAGAATACGAACGACCAAGAACTAGTGACATTTCTTACGGAAGCAGAGCGGGTAATGAATGGACGCCCTATTGTGCCCAATCAAACCAACTATTTCGACAAGCCGGCACTGACGCCGAATGACTTGCTCATTCTCAATAATAGGGTACACGGAGTTGTGCCGGAAAGTATAACAGAGAGGTATACGAGAAGTTGGCAGCAGGTGAAATGCTTGACTCATATATTTTGGAAGCGCTGGGTGAAGGAGTACGTACCTCTGCTTCAAGAGCGAACTAAGTGGCAGAAACCTCAGAGGAACTTCAGGAAAGGGGATGTAGTCCTGGTGCAATCAGGTGCGTTCTCTCGGGAACAGTGGCCCGTAGGCGTGGTTGATGAATGTGAAACGTCGGGTGACGGTTTAGTTAGGACCGTAGTTGTACGCACACGAGATGGTAGGCTTAGGAGGGATGTGCGTAAGATCGGTTTGATAGAGTGTTGTGAGTAGGGGTGGTGGAAAGAGATGGGAACCGCGCGCTCAACTCTCCGCAGGTGGGAGATGGGTTTTCGAACTCATCGCATACAGAGAGACCACTGGGAGTTGGCGCGTGAGCAATTTCCGTTTGGCGTACAGCTGTAAGTCCACTCGGAACTTGAGGTAAGTAAAATATTCCAGCCAGGAATGACCATAGCTTGGTGGAGGAAAATCCACTGGGATTATGGGTGGCGGTGTAGAAGACAGCTTACCAACAGTGTGCTTCCGTTTCCAACCCCATGTGACAGCCGTTCCCCATATTTATTCCCCTTGACCGGATGAACTGAAACCTCCTTGTTTTACTGAACTATTCTTATAACTCTTACGGACTTTGGTCGGACATTGTTATTTTTGCGGTTGCTCGCCGTCGAAATCTGTTTGGTTGTGACGATATCGATTTTGAGGCGAAGTGATCTGCGCTTTATCCTCAGGCTGGTAATTGTACCGCTTATTTTGTAACCTTACGGTATCTGCAGAGGAGAATCCGTTAAGGTTTGTTGAATATGTACATTATTATAGTTGCAATAGTACCGTGATTCTAGAATTCGAATTTCTTGTTCGTTTTCCTGGATTGGCACGGGTGCCTCAAACTCAGGAAGCAGATATCCGTAACAGAGACCTTGCCAGTCGTTTTTGCGAACGGGGAACAAACACACCCCAAGCATTTATTTGATCCACTTGCAGATGATTGGATAGATGATTAGCGAATCATGCTATACTATTAACGCTTTTTCAGCAGAAAATCCTACAGTTTTTCACTGAAAAACTGGCGATCCTCATATAACTTGTGTTTTAAGAGTAACAACCCCTAAGTTGAAAACTTTCCCGAAGTCAAATGTAAATTTGGCAACGGGTTGCTAATGCAATCCCCACGTAATGGCTCAAACAGAAAAGATCGCCGGTTTCTTTTGGTCTTCTGATTTGCGGGCAATTTCGGCTTGTACTTTTTTCCTAGCATAGCACAAATATCATTAGGGCCGGATATCCAACATTATGAATACAGTTTCCAGACATATGATACCGAAATGCCACTCTAATTGGAGCGGCATCCCTGCGTTTTAGATTCCAAAGCTGGATTCACGTTTACATTTGCTGAAAGCCCTGTTCTGAAGGTAGATCTTATTATTTGCTGACACTGCACTGGTTTCATGCAGTCGACGTCGAAACTTTAAGGCCCTGTCGTTTTATTTTGCGGTGGGTGACTTCGTCATCAGATATCCGTTATGGTACACGCACAGTAAATGTCTTCATTTTTGTTTTTGCTTATTCATTAGCAAATTACTCCGCCATCCACACTCTGGCGAGTAACGGCGTATTATTCGGATAGACTCCTTTCACACACATGGGCAGCTAGTGCGTGAAAAGCTTTTAGCCACATACTTTTGTATTCACTAACATGAGACGGCTGATGGCACAATGATTCACACTGCTCTCGATGCACCATTCAAATTTGACCAATTTCACTATCCACAGAATATAAGACACGCAAAACTGTTGCTCTAGTTTAGCTTGGTGATGTTTTAAGTATGTAGTTCTAAACGTTAACCAGACACACCGAATGCCCAAAGCCTTTTCTCTTTTTCTGCACCGGTACTTCAACCTCGAAGATTATATGCTCCCGACGGATAACACAACAACTGGGAACAATAAAACCAAACCCTTATTCAAGAAATGTATAAATCAATGCGGATACTTCTTTTCATTCTGCCTATTCTATGACACAGGATTATTTCTGAGTCTTCTGTGGATAAAGCTCGAGGTGACTGACGACCTGGACGACAATCGACGCTGAAATATCTTCCCGGAACGTGTAGCCTGAACCTCCCCGCCCGTTTCAGTTGGCTGCCAAAATTATGGGTCGTCTTTGACCCTCCGGGCAAGTAGGCCAGATGTGCAAAGGAGTCCAGGGCGATCATGCGTCAACGAAAAATGTAACAATTTTTACGTGCACTTGTTGGGTTGGGTGCGAACATCTTCCTGTGAATCGTTACGGGGAAGGAAGGGAACGCTGACACCTTAGCTTCTTGTCAATCCTGTTTGCCCAGCTCCAGCATGGACAAACGTTTGACGTTCCCAAGTATTCAAGGGACCTTTGCAAGGCACATGACATACCCGAGTTTCGTCACCCACAGCTGAAGACCTGCATTGCGCTGAAACCGTACAAGAACAAAACGGGCACATTCTCGGCAAGAGAACAACCGATCCATCACTTTTGGTGACCTATCCTTTTCTCTGAATTGTTGTGCTGCTAAATGCCGCTGGCAAAACGCAGAGCAACTTTGGCTTACTCTGTTGACAGAGATGGATAGATGAGCAAAATATTCAAAATCGATGTTGAGGGTAGATACCGCATCTTTTTAAAGTTGTCCGAATCTTATGGATTTCACTACTTATAAATGAGTGCGGACAGGGGGATGCTGGTTATTTACACGCTAAATTGGTAATGGTTTAACCGTTAAAGCTATAGAAGCAGCACGAAGCGTTCTGTGTTCTCGTTATGATCTACATTAGCACTGCATGAATGTGTGTGCCAGTTTCCATGCAATGTGCATGAATCAGCCTGGGCATTTTAGTAGGGCTCAGAAACCATCACAGAAGTATGTGGGATATCGCTCAAATAAAAAGGTCACAATCAGATTAGTTTAACCCTCTTGTAACCAAAAAACGACGCGTAATTTCTCGCATGTCAAAGTTACCACGTGCTACGTGTGCCTATAAAACGCTCGTACCAAGGCTCCAAAAAATAATGCTATTCACACAGTCGGCTTGAATACAACTTTGACGCACCGGTCTACGAAAGTAGTTCCAAGCCCCTAAATCATTCGGGGAAACGCATTATGTAATAAGGTTTTCCGGTTTGTGGCGTTATTCTAGAGGCATGGGACGAACCACCTCGTACTACTTAAATCCGCCTGGTTCATTCATAAAACAACTGAGGCACCATACTTAGTTGCACTGAACAAAACAGGTTACATAAGAAAGGGAGGGGGACATGATGACGGCGCTAATACATCGGCTAGGCAAAAAGGTGATGTAGAATATGATAGGCCTTGCAAAGCTGATTTCAAACAGATTTCTCAGGGTAAGTGTCATCAATTGTAATAACACTGAACCATTGCACAGATTAAAAACGAAAGCTCTCAAGGTGGCTACAACCGGTCGCCCTTACTATTGACGACGACTATTGGAGGCTGACGGGAGGCGTACCGTCATGAATACAGCTTGAATACAGCTGCACATCTAGGTCCACTTTGTAATCCGTGCTCCTACCGACCTACATTATGGGATTAAGTGGACGACGGCGGACCGTAGGTAAATCACGGGGGTATACTACAAAAGAAATTACCTTAGTTGTGTTAAGCAGGAAACGAACTTTGCGTGGTGGCGTAATAATGAAGTAAATGTGGATTAAAGTGCACGGGATCCTCGTGACAAAGCACCCGTCATTTATATGACTACTTTGGTGAGTGGTTTGTGAAAACCATAATTGAACTAAGTGGGTGAGCCCGGTGTTGTAGTGAGAAAGCATTTCTAAAAGACTAGCGAACTAGGAGTATATGGGCTGATAAATGTTAGAACGAGTGTGCTTCAATAAAGTATTAATGGACAAAGATTCAAAGGTTTCTCCAATGAAAAATCAACCACCACATCTCATGTGAATTATTCTGTCTGTTTTCGGCTGTTCATTCATTCATAGGTGATAAACCCAGCGCCAACGGCTTCAGTGGACTTCGTGACACGAAGTGTGACCTAGTGCAACGAATGATTATGTATTCGATAACCGCAGCATTCACCCAATATTCGAGGGAGAGAATGAGGCAAGACCGTAACCGACGACCGCAAGGAAAGTGTCCACATGGAGCACGGGACGGACAGCAAGCTAAAAGCCACTGTCTCAGTTGGGATCCGTATCGATACTTAAGCGTTTGTAGACATAGCGGCCCATCGGGAGACTTAAATAACAGTGAACAGAGATTCTATCACACCGCTTCGATCAGCCGGGTGAGTTTTCCGACTAGCTTTGGACTGAGTATGAATATCTCAAGTCTCTGGAACACACACGGATTTAAATGAAGTGAAGCTGACTTTGTGCCTCAGCGAGAAATCTGCCACGAATTCAAACTAGATCCACGTAAATCTGGTTTACGTGGCTAGGACGCAACCTAGTCTCCGATTGGCCAGTTGCATGCCTCAAGTATCCTTATTGGCGGTTCAATCGCGGCTTATGAACTAAAGGATCTGGGACATCCAAATTGACTTTGTCGTGAGACACACCCTCAGTATGCGTCCTACTTGGCATGATTGTTTCTCTTCCATTGTTTTCATAGAAATACTGTCACAGCAGCCTGACGTTTGTTCATTCACTGTTCCTGATGGCCCTAAATAACGTCAACCGATTTTACAGTTAGTCACGTTACTCAGCCATTTGACATACAGTTCTGGTGAGTTTTCTAACCACATAAATTAAATTGAAATTGGATCTCCCCCAACCATATTTGGCAGCATGGACATCGTCTAGTGCTATTTTCATTCTATGATCCCAGATTATGGATAGCACTGCCCATCTGTGTGGAAAAACCGTCCGATGAATAAAGTAGCTTAGAGTTTTTGTGACTCCAATTGATTTGCATTTGAGCATTGTTGATGTGCACCCTTGATTGCTGCACATCGAGCATTGGATTTAATTCTGTATTCCATCCACAGATATTGTCGCGAACCCCTACCTTCGGCGAATAACTATGCCACGTTGATCCATAGCGTGCACACTACCCTACTGTTCAATTTCAAGGTCACCACGTCGGCGTGTCAGTACAACCAATCAGAAGGTTGACTCCCCTGCCAACCCTAACTCGGGTCCACTGCTGGGTTGGCTCATGGAATCACGGATTGATACACAGGATCGAGGCTTTCGCCGGAGTTTTCCGGGTCGGTTTTGTTCTCGTCGTTCAGCAGCTGTCGTTCACCTGCAGGGCACAAGTGAAAAAGGACACTGCTGTTTATGTTCTCAACGCGGGGCAGCATGCTTGCCAGCGCGAGGACTCGCATAACTGTCTAATAATACCTTGAACTAGGTTCTAGAAGGAGCGTGGACAACCGTCGGAGGAAGGTTGTTCCACACAGCTACTACCCGAAATGAGAAAAAATTTTGCTTAATGAATTTCTGCGCTCTGAGCGTGAAAATCTTTTCACGGTACCAGAACCGGCACTAGAGAGCAGATGAGATGGTCTCATGGGAATCTTTCGCCTTCTATCGGACCGCTCAAGGTAGCACAACGGGTTCTGCGGTAATATTGTTGGTCACGGATTCACGGGTCATTACATAGGATCGAGGTTTTCGCCGAAGTTACCGGGGTCGGTTTTGCTCTTGTCGTTTAGCGGCTGCCGTTCACCTGAAAGGCGCAGGCGAAATAAGGGTGTTGCGCTGCTCATTAAGTTCTCAGTGAGTGGCAGCAAGCTTTCCAGCGCGGGGATTCGCATAAAAAGCGTCCAATAGTGCTTTGTACTAGGTACTAAATGTAGTGTGGGCGATCGTCGGGAGAAGGTTATTCCACGCAGTAAATAACTAAAGTGTGCGCTCTAAGCTTGAAAATCTTCTTATCATTTCTCCGCCGTTTGTTGGCTGGATCAACGATGAAAATCCTATTGGTTAAGCCTTGTCCAAACAGAGCATAAGTATCAGGTCTCCCCGGAGTCGATGATACTCCAGGGGAAAGATGTCAAGCACCGCGAGAGGCGTTCCTTAGTCCACGGATTTGAGGCCGACAACCATTCTCGTAGCAGCTCATTGGACGCGCTCAATGAGGATTACGCCCCTTTCGCACGCCTAATACTGACGGAAAGGGGTAGCCGGGCCCGGACAATGGCAAGATCAGTGTCAAGCCGCGTACATCAAAGGAAGCAAAAATCTGAAGTTGGCGTTTTCCATTGGTTACTGATAGCCAAACGGTCCAGCTGAGTCCGTGATTGTCTTGCGGCTGGCGGCCTTGAAGTAACTCGATGTGAGCGTTTGTTGCTGAAGCTTGTACTGACCAGGAACAGACGATGTTCCACACACAACTGATTTGGTCGCTCTCCATTGTACCCACGCTGGGTGTCGACTCCAAATCTACTACCCAACTGTGCTTCTTCCGGATTTAGTTGTCCAATGTTGGCATTTGTATCACCCACCAGGATTACTATATCTGTTCTTGTCGAGGTCTCGACATATCTTGATAAAACATGTTTTTACAGTCCCAGACCCGCAGTCTGCCGAGTCGTACGGTTATACAATAAATAAACCGTTTATCGCACCGACTCGCATTGATCTTGATTGAACCAGATAACCTTAAAGCAAAAAATGAGTATTTACTGGGATCCAGTCCAGTAAGGCGCTTTCGGGTTTTAGGCCGAGTACGACTCCCATACCGTAGATACCACGAGCCATTGCGTCAGGAGCACCAGATACCCTAAGGTAAGTAGGAAGTAGTGTGTGGAACATCTGAGCTCGTCCAGTATAATGGCAGCTACGCACCGAGAAGGTGTTACAGCTTAACGGCTATTTTTATTATTTGCCCTTCGGAAAAACCGAGACTTTTCGTGTCTTTCCCGTGCGTAGAGGCCATGACTCTGATCCATAGGGCATTATGGATCGCACTACCGCAGTTTACACTCTACCTGTGGGAAACAAACTGAAGTTATGTGACGGGTAACAAAAGTTGCCCTGACATTACCGGTTAAGCAGTTAGTCTCGTCGTCAGCCAGTTCGCTTGAACGCAACAGCCCATGCCAGTTAATCTTGCCACAGCATCGACCGGCTTGTATGAGTTTTGGATTTGGTTTCACCCGTCCAGCTGTTTGGTGATTATAAATATGTGAACCAAAAAGTAGAGGAAGAATGTAGGGCTTTATTTAGAGCCCTTCTTCAGCCTCTGATTCAAAAATCTGAACCGAGAGACGGCCTTTGTTAGGTTTTTTTTGTGTCAGAGGCTAGAGGAGGGCCCCAAATAAAGCCCTACATTCTCCCTCTACTTTTTGTTTCACACTTTTGAGTCAAAAGCTTAAGGTAGGCTACCTCAACCGAAACCCGTTCCTCAGGATGGACAGCTGAGAGGTATCATTCGATCTTGAGTCTCTTCTTTCAGCTGCCATCACCCCTCCCCAGCCATCGGATAACGTGCTGTGGTCACTCTATCTACCGATTCCCCCTGCCACTCTTCCGTGTACAATATATCGTCTAGGAAAGTAAGTCGAAATAATCCCTTGCCAAACGCTAGAGATCTGTTCCACGGTGCAACCTGCAATGTTCGTACTCTCTGCTAATTTTGGAAACAGGTATCCCTGGCTGAAACCTTGCTCCCCCTCTGTCGATCTGTGTCGTTTCTCGGTAACACGCACACAAGACCCCATCTTGGTCGTATATATCAAGCCGCTCAGGACAAGCTCAAATGTTTCTTATTCCACCCTTCGGTCATCTGTTGATCCTGGCGTAATTGCGTACCTGAGGTGAGACTGAGGTAGCTCAGTGGGCAAGGCACCAACTGGTCGGAGGTTCTTTAGTTCGGGTTCAAACTCAGCATGTCGGCTGCTGCTATCTAGGCATCGACAATTTGGGAGTACCTCAGCTCTCGAGTCTCCTTCAGGTGGCACGGCAACTTGGTATCGAAAGGGTGTTAAAGCTGAGCGATTGTTTATTGTTATCTACGGTTTGGGGATTGCAACCAACACCAAGACTATGAGCCATTTAATGGGCTTGATCTCGGTAGACAACCTTTGTGCCGTACAGTTGTCAATACAGGTCGATGAAGTATATGGTGTTTATTTGTCGTATCGGCATGCGCAACGTCAGATTGCATTTCTGAAGCTTAGAATGACGGGTTTTTCTGGGACATTTCATGGGACATTTCATTTGGTTAGCAAGAAGAATGGATATAGTCTTCCATGCGGGTGATGTGAACATCTGTACCCGAAGGTGGTGAATCCTTGGTGAGCCGTTTAACGACCACACTACGGGAGTTTTAGAACAGAAATATACTATTGGTGGAATGGAGTACCTCGACCTTGATCTCGGTCTTCAGGAGAGAAGCATATTCACCATGCGAAGGACACCGTGGCATCAGCCTGGTAGCCGTAGCATCCAAGGTGCTGTGTGACGTTATTTTGCGCAGATCAAGTGACCATCGGGAGAGGAAGGCTCGTGCGAATCACGCTGGGTTACACCCTGACCCAGGATGCATCGACCATATCTTCATCTTGAGATAGTTCGCCGTCACGAAGAGACTGGACCTGCATACAGCAGGCGGGTAAGCGAAAACATGCTACAGCCGACGCCTCCCTTCTTTCACGTTCACGTTTTCCGTCTTCCGCCCTCCCCCGCCCAAATTTGAATACTTTATC